GTTAGCACGAAAATCTCTTCTCCACTAGGTTTGACAATTTTAGCCTGTCTATAAAGTTGTGCTGCCAATATTTGTTTTCTTTATAATTTAATCTGCTTAAAATCTGATGAAAATTACTTAATACCTCATTTTACAACATGCACCTGGATAAGGAAAAGATTATTAAGAAAAAAATAAGTACAATAGGAAATTGCAGACAGGGCAATTAAAATCAGTAAGGCCAGAGGTCTTTTAGAAGGGCTTAAAACAGTATTGAAGGGGGCACTACTGCATAGTAAAGTGGCCAGCTTTATATAAGAAATGCAAGAATCAGAAGATTTAACCTAAAAACATGGTAAAAGGAACTTTCCTTCAGTTCTGCTATACTAATCATCAAAAAAACCCACAGAAAGTTATTATCGATTACCATTTCTGTTTTCCACTCCCCTTTCTCCTTTTAAAAGTAAATTCTGGCATTAAGTCCCAAGCTTATGCTAATGAATAATCATGTCAGTTGTCACTCAATTATCACTTTCGACAATTAATCTAAATTATGTACAGCACCTTGTCTTTTTTTCTTTCTCTGAAGTTCTTCATTGAATTTAAAAGTCAAATTTTTTTTCCAAGAAGAATAAATTGATGGAAGATGGAGGCTGAGATTAAATCAGGGGGAATCATTGATCAAGGATGCTTGAAATTCTTATGAATACAAATAGCCTATCAAGGTTAATGAGGTTCAACTCAAGTTTAGAAGAAAAAAAAAATGCACTTAGTATTTTCTATGCACATACATATTTAAAATCTTAGGTACAATTTGAAAGGTAAATTATGCAAACACAAATGTAGTTTCATTTGGGTATTTTACCAGGCATTTTCACTGTTTTTCCCCTAGTGTAAAATAACTACTTAAAATATATATTCTGGATCAACAAAAACTAATGCAATTAGTGAGAAAGAGCAAAGGTCCCCTTGAATACTGACAACTCTTCAAGAAATTCATGTGCTTTTAAGGAATGACTGGTAACAATGTTAGCTTTAAAATATAATGTAAAAATGTTCTACAGTACTTTATTTCAGTCAACAATCATTAATTCAGTGCCTAATATGGATAAGACACTGAAGGGGGACACAAAGGGATACAGAGGTAAGATCTGGTTCTTAACCCACACTCACCTATGATCTGAAAAGAGATATGTCTTTAATTCGTAAGTGGCTCCCAGAACGCCACAAATTTGAATTGTAATATCAATCATACTGGTAAATGCCCAAAGCAAAATCTGTGCACAGCAGCATATCAAAAGAAAATATAAACAGAAGACTGAGCATCAGAGTGAAAAGCAGGGAAGGCTGTAAGAAAGACCAAAAGAAAAAGTCGGTTCACCACGTTCCAGAAATGAAGACAGAGTCTGGAGAAGTAAATAGGATTTCCACTTACAGGAACTCTTGTTGAAGAAAGATGGAGGGTGGAGAAGCCTTACCCTAATCATGAACAAACAGTCCTTTAGACATCATTATTCTCTGATTCTGTGTTTATCAAGCAATTTTCTTGGTTTCTAATTCAGCTTTCCAAAACCTAGGAATATAAAACTGGAAGACTGATGCTTTGCATAGGAGAATAGAGTTTAAATGTCAGTATAGGTGTCCCACAGGTATATAGATGAACTGGCACTCATATACTGCTCTCGCAAGTTTAACAATACAAACCAGACTCCCAGGTCACACTAATTCTAGGACACAGAAAACTCAAGTTTCCAGGTATGAGGACAAGACCTTAATACATGATGTCTTCACTAAGGTAAGAACATTAGAGTTGACTCTGTCTTGACAGGGCAGTCTTCTTCTGCAGCCCCCTTTCTCCTTTATTTCAACCCATTTTGAAATCTTAAAGAAATATACCCAGGTTACTTTAAGACAGTGTGAGAAAGGCCCCATAAGAACACTAGTAATGTGGGCAAAAGGATGGTTCAGAAGGAAGGATTAGGACTTGAAAGTGATATAATCCAGGAAGGCTTCAGAAAGAATAAGTTTAGGACTTGCACAAAAAAAGGACATTATAGAAACTGAACAACTTGAACAAAGAAAAACAGATGGGATTAGGAAAGATTAAAGGGGAAAAAAAATGAGTTGACCAGACTGTATATGAGGTTCTGTAGGAGAGGTGTTAGAAAGTCTAGTTAAGGAGAAAGACAATCATCAAACAAACTGTAAGAAATGTGACTATAGCCTGGTCAGCTTGGCTCAGTGGTTGAGCATTGACCTAGGATCCAGGAGATCTTGGTTGGATTCCTGATCAGGGCACATGCTCTGGAGCCAGGCTTGATCCCCAGCAGGGGGTGTGCAGGAGGCAGCAGATCAATGACTTTCTCTCATCATTGATGTTTCTCTCCCTCTCCCTTCCTCTCTCTGAAATCAATAAAGATATATATTAAAAAAAAGAAAGAAAGAAAGAAATGTGACTATATAAATGTTCTTGGGCCTGACCAATAATCTCATTTTGCACATCTTATTTATATTTGGTCTCTACAAAACAACTAAAGAAGATTAATTTCCATTTTTTAAAGCAACACCCCATATGACCTAAAACTTCCTAAAAATAAAGCAGAGCCTAAATGTTTTTCAATTAAATGGCAATAAAATTCCCAACTGTTGGAGGTTAAATTGAGTGATCCATGATTTATATCTCTCACAAAATCTACACTAGATTTCACTTTGATAAAAATACTCACTGGGCCTCCACAAGGTACAAAATAGAAACAAGCCATAATCACAAGTGTCACTAAATCCAAAATAACTAATGTACATTTAATTAATTATTTTATTTTTGAAAATAAGAAAACCAGAAAAAAATAAAACTGGTTAATGGTAATTTCTTCTGGGATGAATGATGTCTTTCTGTGACTACCTTTTTCAATGGCAACTGGGAAAAAACTCTTTCATCATCCAAAAGGAATTTGAATTACACTTGAGACAAAGTCAAAGAATTTTCTGCATCAGTTTTAGAATGTCACCTGCATAGGGTCAAAGAAATCTGCTGGGCTTTTGTTCACTATGTCACCAGCACCTAGAAAAGTGCCTGGCACATAATAGGCAGTCATTAAGCATTTGATTTGTAAGTAATGTCCAACCTCTCTCTCCAATTGGCTTTCCCATTCAAAGATCTCTTTTCAATTTATTCCACAAGTGGTAAATAAAAA